ACTTGCGGCTCAACGGTCGTCGAAGGTATTTCAACATCATTGACGACGTTGACTGGATCAGCGCTCGCGGGTGTCTGCGGCTGCGGCTCAGCGTCCACAGCAGGCGGCTCAACATGCTCCTTCGCTACTTCCAACGGAACCAAGTGTTGAATGGGCCGTAGCATGGACGATTGGCCAACTTGGACTTTGGCCACTCTGCACTTGCCATCTCTTCCAGGATACAGCTCTGCGACCCTACCCAAGCGCCATGATTGCCGCTTCCGGTTGTCGTCGGCAATAAACACAACGTCGTTCACGACAATCGGAGTTGACTTCGACCGATGATACTCACTGAGACGAATGAGATACTCAGACGACCAACGCTGGTTGAGGTGCTCGTAGACGGTGTGGACATACTTGACTCGAGCGGACAACTGCCGTGGATCGAGTGGTCTGTCAGACGAGGCAATACCGGTTGCAAAGATGTCTCCCAACATCATGGCTGGAGTCAGCGGCGACTCGTCAGCTACATCCGTAGAAACCGGAGTGAGGGGTCGAGAGTTGACGACTCTCTCGATCTCCGTCAAGACAGTGAACAGCTCGTCTCGACTCAATGACGCTCGACCGAGAACCTTCCTCAAGGGAGCTTTCACACATGCCACCAGACGCTCATAGAACCCTCCATGCCACGGGGCAGATGGCGGATTGAAGAACCACGGGATTGCCACCTTGTCTGCGGCGGACTTGAACGTCGTAGCATTATCTGAACGTATACGCAGCGGCTTCCCACGACGGGCGATGAAACGACGCAATGCTAGCAGGAACACCTCTGTCGACAGGCTATCCACGAGCTCTAGGTGCACTGCGCGAGTAGTACCGCACACGAAGAGTGCGACCCACACTTTCTGAACATTTGATGAACTGCGCACGTACAAAGGACCTGCATAATCAATACCTGTGAGACCGAATGGCTGGTGGTGCTTCACCCTGTCTGAGGGCAACGGCGGCATCTCCTCAGCAGCAGTCTGTGCGCGAAATCTGCGGCAAACAATGCACTTCTCCGACACGCTACGAAGAAACCGACGAGCTCCGAGAATCCAGAACTGCTGTTGTAGAAACGCAAGCACGCTCTCTACACCCTGGTGCATTCGCTGAAGGTGAGCATCACGCATAAACAACTCACTTAGATGACATCTGCCCAGGATGATCGGATGCTGAACCTCGTAGGACAGATCGCTCTCCTGCAGACGACCACGAACTCTGAGCAAACCAGCTTCATCCAGAAACGGAGACAACTTGAACAGCTTCGAACCCTTCTTCAGTGGCTCCTTGCTCCGCAACTGGGACAACTCCTTAGGGAAGCATTACTCTTGGATGGCGCGAAACATCACAGACTCAGCAGATGGAATCAATTCTGCACGCGAAACACCCTTGTGTCGCCATGACAGCATACTTGCGACCAAACCGCGAGCTCGTTGCCACTTGGAGAACTTCTCCCACGGCCAAACAACTGGAGTGTCAACCTCCACAGCCGACACGCGTGCTTCGGTGACGGACTCATTGGTGCTCTGAAACGAGATGACTGGTGGCCACTGAGACTCATCGCTCAACCATGACGGACCATGCAGCCACATCTCCTTCTGCAAGTCACACACTGGGACACCACGCGAGACAAGATCTGCAGGGTTGCTAACTCCTGGACAGTGACGCCATTCTACTTGCAGCTTCTGCGAAACTTCTTGCACTGCAGCAACTCGATTAGCAACATACGTCTTCCAGTGATACGACGGCTTTGAGATCCAGTGCCATGTGGTTAGGCTGTCTGTCCACCCCACAATCCTTTCAATTGGCACTCTCAATTCATTGACGACAAAGGACAACATCTTCACGCCAAGACACACAGCCGACAATTCCAGACGCGCAAGAGTGGGACGTACAACAGGTGCAACCTTCGCCTTCGCACACAACAAAGAAGACGTCAAACCGGACACAACATAGAAACAACAGCCATAGCCCTTCTCGGATGCATCTGAGAATACATGCAAAGTGACTGGAGCATCTGGAGTACACCCGATCCATCTGGGGATTTTAACGGAAGAAAGCGCTGCGAGCTCTCCCCACCATGAAGCACATCGGACAGCCAAATCAATAGGGAATGGGTCATCCCAACCACCGCCGAGCTTCCAACTCTCTTGCAACATCATCTTGCCTGGCACAACTGCGGGTGACGCCCAACCTAGCGGATCGAACACAGCGGCAACACAACGCAACAACGCACGACGCGACCAACCAGACACTTCCTTGGGACACTCAACATCACCTAGCGCAGCCACCGAAATACAATCTGACTCGGTGTTCCACACAATACCCAGTGCCTTGGAACCAGCCTCGGGGTCTGAGGTCATCGTGTTCCCTCGCCACTTCCGCAACTCCATGCCTGCTCCCTGCAAAACATTAACGCTATACTCCTGCAGCTTTTCAGCATCCGCACAGCATGGCAAGCTAGAAACGCAATCATCAACATAAAAACTACGCAGCAGCAGCTCTATGATATCACGCTCAGCAGCAGAAGCAGACTCGAATGCACTATCGAGATGAAAGCGCAGCACAGCACTAAGTATGAAAGGAGAACAATTCACTCCAAAAGGCAGCTTCTTTAAACGCCAGATACACATTTCTTCGCTACCTATCTCAGGCCAAACAAAACGCAGATATGGCCTATCTTCTTCACGCATTCCGATCATAAAAAAAGCCTTGCGAATATCGGCTTGTACAGCACATTCATACTCACGGAACCTGAGGAGGATACCAGTGAGATCCGGTAGGAGTGATGGCCCGGGATCGACCATGTCGTTTAGGGATGGTGCTCCGGTGCAGGCGGCGGATGCATTGAAGACGACCCGTGTCTTCGTCGTTGAGGCGTCGCTACGGAATACGGCATGATGCGGCATGTAATAGCCGGCTTCCTCCGGATGCGGTTCCTTTTCAATGGCATCCAGCTTCAAGTACTCAGTGATGAGGACGTCATCATACGCTAGACGTTGACCTCGTCTCTGTAGCTGCTTCAGCAGTGAGTGTGCCGCTGCCATCGCTTGGTTTAGGTTGGCCGGCGGACGCTTCTCAGATCGCCATAGCAATCCCACTTGGTAATGAGGGCCTTGCCGCTCTATCGGGAAGTCCGGTAACGTCTCAGCTATTTCCGGCACCTCTTCCATCTTCCACAGTCGGTCAAGTTCAATACAACTCACACTGACGGTCGCTGACTTGGTTTCACTATTAGCCGGTCCTGACAGCACCCAGCCTATTTCAGTGTGCCAGGCCGTCTCTCCATTGATTTGCTCCTTGCGGAGAAGGAACTCATTGCAGTAGTCAGCTCCAATCAGCATGTGCACTTCGCTTGATCCGGCCTTTGTCGAGTCATCAGACAGCTGCAATCCCTTTGACTGCCAACGTGCAATTGTGCTGTCTGCTAGCGGATCGAATCGGAGACCTAGCGACTTCTTTTGCCAGGCATTGACGGAAATGGACTTCGTTGCACCCTTGATGGTGACACGGTACCTGTCCATCTTTTCAAACTTCGGCTCCACGTCAAACGCCTTCAGCCTGACAGTTTGCGATCCAAGGTGTGCCGGTTGCAGCGAGTTCACCAGTGGCGCGGTGATGAACGATGCCTGCGCACCTGGGTCGATGAATATGCGTACACTGGCCTTTCGGCTAGGTCCTTGTACCTCAGCCACGCCGGTCATCAAGTGCACGCTGTTTGCACTACATTCATACGTACCGACTTTCGATTCGGCTATCGGTTCGGATGTTACCTGTTTGTCCTCTCTGTGCAGTAGACTGTGGTGTCGCTTGTTGCAGTGCTTGCAACGACCCTTGTTCTGACAATTCATCACTCGATGTCCTGGTCTCAGGCAGTTGAAACACAGTCCCTCTGCCTTGACGTACGCGTTTCGGTGCTCAGACGCCATAGCTGACAATTTCTTGTTAGCCTCATCAACGCTGACCGTCAAACACTCTGCCGACGCAAACGGTATACGTTTGTCGCTGGTACTAGACTTGGCAGGCTTCAGCTTGCTACGTCCGTGGGCTGTTTGGTAAGCCATACCATCCTCCGCAAACGCCTTCAAGTCCTTCGTGTAACATCTCTTCTCGATCAAGAAGGCCTTAGTTTCTGCCGACACAGCTTCTAGCAGGACTTGACGTACGACACATCCGAACAATTCAGTGTCGTCCAGCTCACCGATTTGTCCGCGGCTAGAGGTACGGCTAGGCCTGGCGAGTTTTGCCCACTTCTCCGTCTCGCGCGTCACTCGTACCACAAACTGGTAGAAACTCTCATCACTTTTCTGCTGTATGGCCATCAGGGCTTGCCACGCTTTGTCGGCGGTCTTCCCATGCGCCATCAGCAGCTCGCGCTTCGCTTCGGCAAAGGTGTTGCAGCCATAGCATGCACCTTCCAACTTGCTGCCAGCAACAGCCACGCGCAAGCGGATCAGGTACTCGTCGTCGCTGAACTCGTTTTGCTTTGCCACATCCTCGAACAGTTCGAGATAGGTCTCAACAGTCTGCTTACCGTCGAACTTCGGCATCTTGATGGCAGCCCTCTTGCTCGCTAAACTGCCATTCGTCGTATTCAACAAAGTGCTCTCATCACTCTGAGTCTCTCGTGTGTGCTGGACTTGCAACTCCAAATCTGCAATCCTCGCAAGCAGCTGCTCGTCATCTTTCCTTTCCAATCTACTTCCTGCTCGTTCTTCGCGCTCTCTGTCTGCACGCACTTTCTCCTCGTGCTTCTCGATACGCTCCTCTACGTAAGTACGCAATGCCTCTCCAGTGTAGCCATAAGCTTGACCATTTGCGATCAGCTTCGCTTCTACCTCATCCATGTTCACGCGTCTCGATCCTGGCGTGGTCGCCAAAATGTTGTGTTCACTACTAACACCTCAAAAGTTTCAGGATCGCACAGACGCCACAAGACAAAAGGTCACGTAATTCTTTACGGACTATAATGAACGAACAGTAGAATACATTGAGAAGAAGAGACTGGAAAAATACGAACTACATCGGAAAGAGAACTCTAGAACACTAAAGAAAAACAAACCACAGCATCAAGGAAAAGAACAACGCATGAGGGGTAAAGCGCTGGCCAGCCACAACGTGTGTCCAACTTTGGCATGAGCGTACAGAAGAGCGTACAGCGCTCGGAAAGCGGAAGCTAAATTTGGCGGCAAAGCGACAGCAATAGTACGGCGCGCGGCACATAAGCAGTACGAGGCGAGGCACGTATACGCATGTGCGGCAAACATTACACACCATGTACCATATATGCATGAACAGCGCGGGGCGCATACTAACTCATTCAACATCAGTGCGCGGCGCAGGCATCTAGCTAGCTGGCGCAAGCATGATCAATAATTGCATGCCATCACGCAATCAGCGCACATAAATCGTGCATCAAATAAATAAGTAATCAAACACAAATCAACACATCAACTAAATAAATCAACGAGCTAGCAAGAACACAATTCAAAAATGCAACGAAGAAATAATTACTATTCTAGTCGGTTATTCGCATGGGACCAAGCGCAATGTCCAAGCTGATGAACTGTGATTGCACAAGGTAAGCCCAAGCTCCTGAGCTAACCGTTCTGGTGAGCAGTCTTCTTCGTGCTGCAAACACACACTACACAATGTGTCGTATCTCGTAACAAGTATTGTACCAAATCAAAACGAACACTAACAATACGCAATAGTAAACAATAATCAAAAACACTACGCAAAAAGCAAAGCAAGCAGCACCTAGCCAGGGAGACAAGCAGGAGTCACGGTCGCAACGAGATCTCGACGACACCCCAGAAGACCTTTCTCCGACACGATACACAACATTCTCTAAGTACGGGAAAATGTATGCAGAATGAATTTGACCTCGACTCGCCTGAAATTGCACAGTTCTCCGGTCCATAACTTTCGGCTCACACTTACTGCCATCGCACCATTCTATTTTACCCTGGTTTGCAAGACTCCTAGGATTTTTTCATTTACGTTTGTCTTTCTAAAGGATTAGGAGAAGTTCAAATTTAAAAGGATCGGCGATGGAAGTTTTTTTCCCTCATCTAAATATTCTGCTGGACGGTGGACTTCGGACTCTCGCATCACACCTCCGCGCGCACCCTCCTGCTGAAATTGGACGCATACAGAGAATCCGAGATATTCAGGCAGAAGTTCATTGTTCTTGCTTGGAGGTCTCGGAATGGGCACGCAAGTTCTGATCTGCAAGCCCTCCTAGTTCCTTCGTCAGCTGGCCCAACTAGGTTGCACTACACCATGGGTCTGCGCCAACCGCTAGTTGCACCAGGTTCGGCAAGGGTTGCCTCGCGTTCCGGGGCGCCCAGCTGTGGAACACCTTACCCAGCAATATACGTGCCATCTCCACGCTCCGCCAGTTCCGTGCCAGCATGATCCCGCACACACTTAGTACCTAGAGTACCAAACGTCCTGTTTGATGATCAGCTGACTTAGTGTTTCTCCACCTCTATCCTTATTACATCCCTCCCCAATTTCATTAATTACTGCTTTCTATCTGCTTTCGCCACCTTTTCATTGGGCAGATCTGCCCGTTTGGTTTGCGAATTAAAATAAACATATCAACAACAACAACAACAACAACAACAACAACAACGTGTGCAAGTGGAGAGCAGCAAATCAACCTGGCTGAACATTCCAGCGGGGTCCCCCAAGGCTCTGTCTTGGGGCCGCTTTTGTTCACGGCCTACACAGTCGATCTGCCAACCGCCTGCATAAATGCCAACACTGAGTGCAGCCAGTTTGCCGACGACACTGCCATCATTGCCGCTCACGAGAAATTTCTAGCCGCAGAAGAGCACCTCCAGTCAGCTGTGACAACCGCGGCACAGTGGCCGAAGGATTGGCATCTCCTGGTCAACGAAAGTAAGACCACTGTCATCCACTTTCACCACACCAACCGGCCACCTCCCAGACCACCATCAATCAAACTCAACGATACCAACCTCACTGTGGCCTCAAGGCATCGCCACCTTGGCCTCCTCATACAGCAGAATCTATGCTGGAACTCGCATGTTGACTACATCATCACTAAAGCGACCAGGAAGATGTTCCTTCTCCTGCGACTACGCAATTCCTTAAACACTTCTGCTCTCTCCTCCATCTATCTTACCTACATCCGCCCTATTCTTGAGTATGCTTTCACTGTCCTCTCACCCCTCCCCGCAACCCTGAACGACCGGCTTGAACGCATCCAACGGCGCGCCGCTCGCCTCTGTTTGCATCTCCCCCTCTTTGAACACAGAACCCTCTCCGTGCTGCTGCACCAACTCAAATGGCCATCACTCAGCAGCCGCCGTACCCTCTCCCATATCCTTCTTGCACATAGCCTGCATCATAGATATGCACCACCACACCTTCTTGCAATTCACCTACCCCGAATACAACCCATTCGCACGCTCAGGTTCCCCTGAACCTTTGAGCTACCCACAACACGTACAAACCGGCTAAGGGACTCCCCCATCTATGCTTCTCTCGATCTCTTTTTAAATAGCATTCCACTCAGCCTCTGGCAAATCAACCCCAGACGAGATTTCAAAGCAAACATCCTACCACTTGTCATCTCTTCCGTATGTACTTGCTCACATTGCTCAGCACATCTATAGGTCCATTACGCCCAGCCTATGTGATAAACTCCCTATTGCCATTGCTACTGCCTCAGGAAGCAGCTAAACTTTGATCTCTCTGTATCTGATCACCGTGCCTGTAATTATTTTTCTCTTATTGGCCACAGGCCATCGTGAGAATAAAATATTTCAAACAACAACACTTTAAAAATGGAAACAAAGATAAAGGCATTATGCATTAGAGGACATACCGAAATAGGTGACGGATTTTGTCGTTGTGCAGTCCTCTGTGATGAAGGGAGTTGGTTCAGTCGCTCGCTTCATACTACACGTGAAGGTAATGCCTCCCTGGTTGTCTAGCGATGACTGGACGCCGAAGAAAAACGTGATTGTCCTGCGCAGTTGACAACACAAGAAGATAATGGTATCTCTCTCTCTCTCTCTCTCTCTCTCTCTCTCTCTCTCTCTCTCTCTCTCTCTCTCTCTCTCTCTCTCTCTCTCTCTCTCTCTCTCTCTCTCTCTCTCTCTCTCTCTCTCTCTCTCTCTCTCTCTCTCTAGCTCTCTCTCTCTCTCTCTCTCTCTCTCTCTCTCTCTCTCTCTCTCTCTCTCTCTCTCTCTCTCTCTCTCTCTCTCTCACTCCCTCTCCCTCTCTCATAGGCAGAGGCAACATTTGCCTTCTCGCTGGGCGTATTGCCACAGTTCTCGCATAATGATGAAGATGATGAATACACGAGTACAGTCAAGAGCACATGAAACCCGGAGACGTCAGGCGAAATTACTGGTCAGTCGGCGACACGCACTTTTCACAAAAATTTGCGTTTCACCTGCTGGGAGAGTATGCGTGTACTCGAGTCTCATCCTGAGCACGTTGTTTTCTTCTTTTTTCAGCTCCAGTATAGCTGTATTTTTCATTGCAAAGCCATCCTCGATTGTGTTCGTTGTTCAAACGAAGTGGACATTCAATCATGAAGGCAGAGGACATAGGAGCCTGATTGGAGTTTCTCGTGGCATAGGACGGCCACACAGAGACACTTTGGGATTTTCTGAATATAAAATACCGTACGCACGGTGCTGAGATCAATTTGTGCGATATCAAATTGTTTGTGATCTACCACATCGAGCAGAACGGGATCCAAACACAAGCTTACCGACGGTTAGGCTGCCGATCTGACTGGACAAATGATCCCTGGCTTCACCTGCGTCAGGCGAAATAGCACGTCATAGTACATTCGAGATCAGCGGGAAGAAGATGACGATGTCCACTAATTTAGTATCTGTGCACACGAATCTGCTGTGTGTGTTACTCTGTGTGTCAGCTATGGCATCATCGCCTGTGGTTCCATGCCTAGCATGTACGTCTGAACCATCCTGCAAAGTTTGAAAGACGTAGGTTGAGCGATCGCTCCGCGAAACATACTTTTTGAAATTCTCTTCATAGTATATCTTCCACCACTAAAATTTCGAATTTCTTCGAATTTTTTGCTGAGAGGGGTGGCTTGCAACCTCGATATGGCTTGTTCCAGGCTTGCTTTGGAGCCATCGCCTGTTGAAACAGTGGCGGGAAGCTGCCCTGCAACTGTTCCAACAGGAAATTAATCGATCCGAGAAAGCGCGAGTCCGCGAATCTCGGTTGAATATTGAGTATTTCAAGCCTTTTCACCACGAAGATGGAGTTCTTTTTGGAGATGGACGTCGCGGCAAAGGACATGGTCTCCGACTTCTGGCGTCTGGTGAAGCCAGGGATCATTTGTCCAGTCAGGTCGGCAGCCTAACCGTCGGTAAGCTTGTGTTTGGATCCCGTTCTGCTCGATGTGGTAGATCACAAACAATTTAATATCGCACAAATTGATCTCAGCATCGTGCGTACGGTATTTTATATTCAGAAAATCCCAAAGTGTCTCTGTGTGGCCGTCCTATGCCACGAGAAACTCCAATCAGGCTCCTATGTCCTCTGCCTTCATGATTGAATGTCCACTTCGTTTGAACAACGAACACAACAATCGAGGACGGCTTTGCAATGAAAAATACAGCTATACTGGAGCTGAAAAAAAGAAGAAAAAAACGTGCCCAGGATGAGACTCGAGTAAACGCATACTCTCCCAGCAGGTGAAACGCAAATTTTTGTGAAAAATGCGTGTCGCCGACTGACCAGTAATTTCGCCTGACGGACGCCAGAAGTCGGACACCATGTCCTTTGCCGCGACGTCCATCTCCAAAAAGAACTCCATCTTCGTCGTGAAAAGGCTTAAAATACTCAATATTCAACCGAGATTCGCGGACTCACCCTTTCTCAGATCGAATCATTTTTTGTTGTAGCAGTTGCAGGGCAGATCCCCGCCACTACTTCAACAGAAGATGGCTCCAAAGCATGCCTGGAACAAGCCATATCGAGGTTGCAAGCCACCCCTCTCAGCAAAAAATTCGAAGAAATTCGAAATTTCAATGGTGGAAGATATACTATGAAGAGAATTTCAAAAAGTATGTTTCGCGGAGCGATCGCTCAACCTACGTCATTCAAACTTTGCAGGATGGTTCAGACGTACATGCTAGGCATGGAACCACAGACGATGATATCATAGCTGACACACAGAGTCACACACACAGCAGATTCGTGTGCACAGATACTAAATTAGTGGACGTCGTCATCTTCTTCCCGCTGATCTCAAATGTACTATGACGTGCTATTTCGCCTGACGGTTCAGCTTCTGAATTTTTCTGCATGGGTGTCTGTCGCGGCGAAATTCTGTGACTACATCATATATGGCGCAGATCTGAGGCAGGAAGTGGCGTAGTGCGTACAACTGAGCAGCAGTAAGAGACCTGCTCGAATCTTGGTTGTACGTCGTGCTACAACACTAAAATGATGTAATCACGGAATGTTGCCGTGACGGCAGCCCATCAGAGCTGCACGATCTGGGTTTCCTGCATTCCCGGCATAGTCGAGCAGCAATGCACCGCTCACCACCGTATACAACCATGCATCGGCATCTTCGAACGGCAGGCGCACCAAATTGGGAGGCAAGCTCGAGCACGAGGGGGAAACTATGCACGGTGTGCTTTTCGTCATCTTACGCTGCATTTGTCTTGGGTTTGTTGACATCGAACGGCAACCGTGTAAAGACCAACGTGGGAGCAATCGTATCTGTGCACACAGCGCCGTACAGAGAGCAACAGTAGACAATTTTATATAGTCTGAGTCAGGGCATGTATGGGCAGGGTATGTATGGGCAGGCTGTGTATGGGTGTTTGGTCACAGCTTGTGGGGTCAGGGTTTGCAAGGTCAGGGTTTGCAAGGTCAGGGTTCGCAAGGTCAGGGTTCGCAAGGTCAGGACTTGTACGGTGAGGGCTTGTACTTATATGGCCAGGGATTTAAATTGGTCATGAGTGAGTGAGTGAGTGTGTGTGTGTGTGTGTGTGCGTGGGTGTGTGGGTGTGAGTGTGTGTGTGGGGGGGGGGGGGGGGGGGATGGTGAGGGCTTATGCTCATACGGTTGGGGTTTTATGCTCAGGGCTGTAGAAAGCATTGGGTGGTCTATCATGTGTATCACATGATCGTGAGGATCGGCCATGTTGGTTCAAACTCCACGCAAGCCCATGCACGTATGGGTCACATAATCTCGGCCATGTTGGTTCCACTGTCCACCCACCATGGGACGCTTTCTACACAAATTGAATCTTGTCATGGCAAAGATGTAAAACCGCTCTTCAGACGCATTGCCATGGACGCATGCATGCACAGGGGTGTCGGAAGATATTATAGGGTGGCACGGTGAGCCACCTGAACAACAATTCCTTATGGAGGTGGGGTGACTCCCCTGAAAAATTTTCAAAATTTAGAGCCCAGATCAGTGGGAATTTTGATTCGCAGGACAGCAGGGGCAAAGAGTGGTACGGCTAATACCGTAGTGACTGTAGCGTGTCCGACGTCCCTGTGTGTGCACGCGGGAATTAAAACGAGCCTGGCTGCGGTGCGTAAACATACCCACTGTCCACGTGAACACCGTCTGAGCCGATGTGTCAACCTGGCCGTTAGAAAGCTGCAACATTCAGAGAACAAAGTCACGGGGAAACACACGGACCTTAGTCGAAAATAACTTCCAAGAAGGTACAATAGACACGCAGTAACCCAATGGTGAACTGCAGTATTTATTTTATTTCACCGTCCAATGGCAGAAGTCAATGCAAAGGAGGGGGGCGTTAGCCAGCCATGGTGACAGAAGAAAAAGAAAGAAAGAAGGAAAGAATATGATAACCGGAAGAAAAGAATGCATCAGCGGGGTGAAATTTATCACTATGTTGACCATGGTGGAGAGCCGTGAGATACGCTAGCAAAAGAGTATGACAATCAGAGGTCCATGAACTTCATGAGCAGCACAAGCACACACGCACGCACATAAGCAAGCATGTACACACATACACACACGCACGCACGCACGCACACACACACACACACACACACACACACACACACACACACATACGCCCAGCACAGTAATAGTGTGTCAACCTCTCCGATATGTCGACTTACCGCAAACTGGACTACAAGAGTGTGTTTGCCGTCCGTCAGTCCCGTGTACGTCTGCGGGTCTTGGCACGTACTTGCTCCCTGCGAGTCTAACCGGCAGGAGATCTTAGGAAAGCCAGCCTGTCGCATAGAGAGAGAGTGAGAGAGAGAGAGAGTGCGTGGGAAAGAGAGAGAGACCAAGTGGTCAAGTGGGAAAAGACCTCCATTGCATCTCACTAGATGAACCAACATCAACACATCATGCATTCGCAAGTGTATGCAAAAACTCAGGCGGGTGGTTGTTGCGGATAGTACCTCATTCCCAAGCTACAAGGTGGTGCATACACGCGGTGTACGCTGGCAGCATGCAGCATAACTGTAGCTGGGTCCTACTCGCACAAATAAGCAGCACGACCAGAATCTAACCTTGGTGCCCGACGCACGGAAGTTTATCGTCTTTGAGTTTGTGTATCCGGCGTTAGCGATACCTTCGTCGTTACGAATCGTCGGCGCTGTAGTTTGACAGAACAAGGTAGAAGAAAGACCTACTATGCTGAAACTCTGATCTCCGACACACAAAGAGTGTGGTGACCATCCATCAAGCAACCCCGCACATACTGATAGGACAGTGATATACTCCGGATAACACAGGAGCATCGGAAGGTCATCTAGTGTGGTACGGTCAGCCATCTGAAGTACAATTTACGCGTGAAGGAGGGGAAGCTGGGCCGAACATTTCAGAAATTCAGAGCCCAAATCGGTGAATTTTTTTCGATTTACGGCGTACTTGGGGCAAAGGGTGGTACGGTCAATACCGTAGTGCCCGTAGCGTGTCCGACACCCCGGTAACACCAACACCATTATGCAGGAGAATTAGTTCTTTATAGCCGAAGTTCGTTATAACAGAAATGCACTCACACCATACAAGCAGCAAGTCATGACTGGCAAGTGGCCCGTGATAGTATAAGGTGCACTTGGTTTGCATACGGTTCTACAAGATATGGTTCGCTATAAACAAAAAAATCTGTTCGCTATAAAAGGTCAATTTTGTATGGATCCAAACAGGGACATGGACAAGGGTTCGCTATATCACGAAATTCGCTATATGAGAGTTCGTTATAAGGGGAGTCGATTGTACTTGAGTTGCCGCTCACATCCAACCGGGGGGAATACCCCACCAAACATTTGTGACCTTTTGACGCCCATCGCCAGAGGCAATGATAGCGATGCTACAGCAGAAGCCAAAGCAACTTGTGCTGGGATTGCACCAAGCAACAGCTGGCAAGGCTGAAAATTTGACCGCCACTATTCAGGGTGGTCTAGACCGCTATTCAACGTGTGTTTTTTTCTGGCCAGCGAATCCCTGCTTTTCGGTCCCCCAACACGCACGCACACACACACACGCACACTCACACACACTCACACATGCACGTACACACACGTGCACACACACATGCAAGTACACACACACACGTGCACACACACACACACACACACACGCCCCCCCCCCCCCCCCCGACACACGCACCCACGCACTCACACAACACACATAGACTCTCTTACCTTGTGCGTTGACAGCCACCGCTAGGGTCAGCACGCATATACACGTGTACCACATCCTCGACACCTTGACCAGACCAGCCCACACGATCTGCTGCTGTTTTGATGCCGCCTCGATACCGAGCGATGGTTGACCAATTTAGACTCCAACACGCCAGGTGGACTTGCAGACGTTCTAATAACATGAAGGAAGAACATACAGTCAGCCGAGTGAACATCAACCCTGGGCATTTAAACAACCGTCGCGAATTGCGACGCAATCTTCGCTCCTAGTGCCTGTTTCACAGCATGCTTTACAACCTCACGAAAAACAACACTTTTCTCGTCCACAATCGATGGTGGTTATTTGCAGGATTCACTGTGGTTTCATGAGCATCAATATGCAGGCGCATAGCACCGCCGTTGGAGGCGGTCCGGCCGGAGGGGATGCGGGGGTCTCCGCTGGAATTTTGAAATAAGGGTGCAAAATCCTGCTTTCAGGTCGCTTCTGTGCGAAAAAAGTGGGTCCGGCCTGGCCTGGTAAGGCCGGACCAGCTGCTACGCCAGTGACATGAATTTTCACTGCGGTGACTGTGTTACAATCTTCTAAACTACTTGAATGATACACCCGGTTCGTTTCGGGATTTCTACATTTCCAGTTTGAGTCGATTTTTAGAATGAAGACCTATGGGAGGGAGACCAGAAATACGCCTATATAAAATAATACATTGTTGAGCACCTGGCGAATGCCCAAGCTTATGAATGTATAGGAAGAATTACCATTGTCTATTTTCGACACAGTTCTTCGACCTCAATGCAGGACATGCATTTTTGGGACAACTCACATTCTTGGGACGTGCGGAGTCGAATTTTCAGGGCGTCGGCCTGGATGCCAAATCATTCTTGTTCCGCTATGATACATTCTCGAGAAGCTCGCCTAGTTCTGGAAGGCCCCCTGGGCTCAGTTTCCTCACAAACAAATCTAGGCGGAGGCGTTCAACCTGTTTTTCGACGATTCTCTGAATGACTCATTTTGTAGCTCGCCTCATAACTCAGCTCACAAAATTTGTTGCAAACTCAAAGAAACAATTATCGTAATAATGTTGCCTATTGACTACTACTACTATACTAGTACTAGTATTGTTGCATTGTTGGGTCTCACTATACTAGCACTGAAGCCCAATCAACCCAATGAAGGACGTAGGTGCACAGCTATAAAATTAGTGAAAGAGCGTAGCGATGCAGCGTTGTCACAGTCACAGTCGACTAGTCATGCACACAGTACAGGCGCGGAAGCCCGCCCAGGCTGCAGAAACCAGGCTCTTCTTCTGAGTCACCATGGTCACCGCCTGAGACAGTGGACTTCATGAATAAAGCAGTGCTACGTAACGTCGTTCGGGCGCATGCATATGGGGCAGTGGTCGGCAGTAGTGCCTGGTGGCAGTAGTACTAGTACAGTCAACTTCGCCAATAACGACATTCGGCGGGGCATCAGAAAAGTGTCCTTATTCGCGAAGTGTCCTTATAACCGAAGTCCCATTTGAATGTATGTGAACCCATATTTTGTATAGTATGATATGCATATCAAAATCAAGCTCTTTTCTTGCTCTATGTCAATGTGTACTTTATTTTCATATTGCAGTTGAAAGGAACTAAAAATTCAATATGCAAGGGAAGTCAATTGAAAAATATGCCTTTTGAGCCACCTTCAGGGCCAGAGACATGTAAATGTATAATGATTACTGTACAATCATGTACAACTACATGTACATTGTATACATACATGTATAGGTGTGCTGGTAAATACAACAATTTTGAAGCCAACATAAAAAAGGAAGAAAAAGCCCCCCCCCTTGGCTGCATTTTCTTGCATGTGTGCAATAATATCCATCACCGGTGCACCATAGGTTCTGGTACTTCTGCATGACAGGTACATGTACTTGACTGACAGGTACTTGAAATAGCTGTCAAAAGCCCAGAAAGTTGTTATTCAAGCAGTGAATATGACCACGGGCACTAAAAGCATGTCGCTATACGCGAATTGTCGTTATTCAGATAGTCGTTATATCCGAAGCTAAATGTATATAGTTAGATGGGACTTTGCTCTGGGCATGGAAATTCGGTCGTTATTCGCGAATTGTCGTTATATCCGCAGTCGTTATTAGCGAAGTTGACTGTAGTGCAGTAGTGGGCGTTGAAATGGGCTGTGCACTGAGTCAGCGAGCAGGTCTAGCGTCTGCGACCACTCTAGCTCGGTCGCAGAATGCAGCCGCAAAGCGTCGCGTTCCCTCCCTTCAATTTTCTTCAATTATTTTCTACTACAGGACACAAGCGCATGTAATGAAGAACGGCTCCTGTACTGACTTTGGGATAGTAATACCCATTAGCAGCTTACAGTTACGCCACACCTAGATTTCGGCGGTCACAGTTCGATCTCGTCTCATCGCACAAGCATACATGCTTCTTCATCAACGCCGGACCAGGTCGACTTTACAAAACCACTTGGTCGCTGTGTTGTCTAGTAGATCTACAAGTAGTAGACAAGTCTACGATATTTCTCTTGTTTCAGTGAAATTTCAGTTCCTGTAGTATTTATGTCTCCTTCGAATAGCACTCCATCAGGCAATGTCGACCAATTCATTGCCTTGCCAATAGTTTCTTTCAGGCAGTTTGTAAAAGTCATAACGACTCAAAGTTGATTCGGTTGAATAGAGTTCGGCGTAATTCTATTCTTCTATGCGTAACTCTTGTTACACCTTTCATTCCCATTACCGGTACAGTGTACATCAACAAACTTAATATATAATATCAACAACATTGTGAACTTGTGTCGCAGACTCCTCTTCGCGATACGAGCACTTTGGCAAGTCTGCTTTCTGCACGCGGAGCTGTATTTTCTATTCCTGTGCTTTTTAGTAGTGATCCCCGGCGACACAAAACTAAACACTACCTAGTTTACACCCCCTACTCGCGATGCGTCGTTTCGCCACGCAGTCACGAAGTTGTGTATGAGAACACCATGATTTGGGTTTGATCCACCTCCTCTCTTGCAACGCAGTCAGCGCACACACAGGATCCTCGGGCCCGGTTGGTGATTTATTCATACGCCCCACGGTCGCAGCCACGTAACGAACACACCTTCTCACAACGTTGCCATACCCAACAATACAGTCTGCGAATGGACAGATTTAGTCGAGCTTGTTCATCAAGCAAGGGCATAACTCGGAGCGAGAGAGCAGCAAGCGAGTATACATGTGCTTGTGGTGCGCGCTCCTGTTTAGACTGCAATGTAGACAGCAGTTCAGAGAACCTCTAACGTATACTTCCCCCGCGGCTAGACTCAGCCTGAAGGTAACTGGTTACGTTTGCCTTGCCTACAGCTACTATCTCTGCTGCTGGACCTACAAGATTAGTTTCCCGCATGAAGCATACAACTATTATGTTGCATGGCCGGCAGATCTTACACAAGAACCTTATGGCAAGCTCATGCTCAGTTCAACTCACCTGCTTGCGCTGATGAAGCTAGCGGGAGGTACCAAGTTGTTTCGGAATTACGTAACACTAACGGCAGGACTCCAATGAAAGCCGTGCCCTGGTGCTCTGTACGGCTCTGCGCTGTGGATAGTCCAGGTGGAACAAGAAGGACCGGGGATATCGTTTACGTATGATGTTACAGGATTTGGTTGAGCCGAAACAACAGGTCGTACACTAGCCGAAAAGCGGTTGCCGTTTCGCGCAAGGAACACTGCCTCGAAAGAACCACGGCGAAGTCGAGCGGAACGAGGCGCGTGGGGCAGTTCGAAACTGGCGTTGCTCCCAAGATGAACGCTGGGCCCGCGCGCTCACAGACTGTGAACGTTGCATAGTATGCTGGCTAGGAGTCAGTGAGTGCTCTGTCTGAGTCTGTCGCCATTATTTTGTACTATGCCCAGTGGTATGCTATTACTGTCGCCACGGAATCATTGGGTACTACGTGTACATGTAAGTGCATCAGCAGCCAGCTGAAGGGGTGGAAACCTTTTCTGTTCCGTGGTGACATGATTGCACGTGCCAATCCAGCTTCAGTCTAGTCTGATACGAGTACCGACTGGCGACTGTCAGCACACACTCAGATGATATGCAGGCGTGCAGCATGGGTCCCCTCCCGTGTCCGGTGTTTCGAATAATTTGGAACTGTCGCTGCTCATCCGGGTGTGTAGCGCTCTTTACGCGGTGCACCACCAGCCCGTGGCGTGCATGCAATTGCAGGGGAGGCTACGGGTTTGGTACCGGTAGGCAGGTGGACATCCGTATGCTGCAGGCCTTGTGTGTGGAGCACATGCTGGCCACGCAGGTCGCTGATGATCACATCAGGGTCTTTCTCCGTGCATGGGACTAATGAAATGGTAGGCATGCATCGGGTCCACACGCGTTTCATTATGGATCAATACACCCGTGCTCCGAATAATGTCCGTAATAGGCGAAGAGTATGTCTTATCAGGATACGTACTAAGTGTGTTTTACTGTCATACTAGTAATTCATTTGCTTCAGTGCTAGCCATGCGGACTGGGCGCTACCAGCTGGAGAGACGAAAACGCTGACACATGGATGACGTGACGTCACCTCACCCGTGCCTGGTGCGCCTGGCTCTCTGTCAATTGAGGACTTGATCTCCAAGACTGACGCGGGTTTGGTGCAGCTAACCACACGGTCATAGCGTTTGCAGTTGTTCGAATGGCAACGGCGGAAAGCAGCAAGGATGATCTCAGAGAGCATGCACGAATGAAGAACGTAAACACAGCTGATAACCTTGATGAAGAACAGGACCCTCCGGTACCTGGCACCTGGTACCGACACGAAACCCCAAGCAATCAAGATTCACATTGAACGCGTTTACAGGATTTGTGGCTACTAGGTTCATTCAGTTTGGTCATGACTCACAAACCCTATGCCACAATCGCACGGTCTACAGCACAAAAATAAAACAAGAACATTACGCCTGACATACAAAAGTACTGTGGCCTATGTTTGCAAATTGATCCTCATCAGCCATTGGTATCACTGAAGCATGAATATAACTCTGTAGCATTTTGTTTTAAGAACATAGGTAAGGAAATATTGATGTCCCAGGACTTGCTGAGAACTGGATGTTGATCCTCAATGTGCAAAGCTTTACACATGCATCTTTAGGCCATAGCTTCTCGCGCAGAATCAAAATTTATATAATAATTTAAATATTCCGATCAAACTCCAGTATGGGCTATAACCGGTGACAGGCGAGGATTGGGAGAAGTGAGTGTGCTATGGGGGTGATATGGGGGTTTCATCAACGCAGAGTTGGACCTCTTTTTAGTTTACTGTACTTCGGAGTACTGCCTAGTGAAGTACTTCGAATTACTAGTACTTAGTAGATCTACTGTAGTTTTTTTCAGCCTCTTTTACGGGCAAAATAAGCACAATGAATATTTTTTCCCAAGTGTTCCAAAAACTTCAACTCAAAGTTCTAGAAAGAAAAAAAAGAAAGAAAAAAACAGGAAAAAAAACAGCATAATAATGTATATACCTACTTAGGTAAACAGCAGCAAGATCTACTGTAGTTAGCATTTGAAGACTGGAAGTCTGGTATCGGCTGAAGATGAGTTGAAACTACAGTGTATACAGTGCGAGTGTAGATGTTGTGAATGTGAGTGTGAACTGAGTGTGAACTGAGCGTGAACTGAGGTTTACAGGTGCCGACTACAGTGTATGACCGGCGCTATTTATAGAAAAGAAAAGGACCAAGGCACTACAAGTTACGCTACAATGTCCACTGACACCACCAGCAGCTACTAGTACTAAACAATTAGCTCATGCGATAACATTGCACGACACTGACCGACGGTACTGATGTTCTACAACTAACTGCATTATAACGTAACTTGAAGTTTCTTGGCCCTTTTCTTTTCTATAAATTTATCCTTGGCTCTCCATCCGAGTCCACCGGTGTTATTATCAAAATCGATAAGTTTCTGTGGTGCTTGGACGCGGAGAGTGAGTTTGAATTGAAGTAGAGAAAAGTGAAGTTTGTACACTGGGTTATTGTTGGAGGGTTCACTCAATCAGATATCTGTCAAAAGATATCTGATTGTCGCCACTATTTTCCCAGGTCGCATGTTTATCTTTATAAAAACGCGAAACATGCGAAACCTTATTTAATTTTTTTGATCAGAAAGAGAAGGAGAGAGATAGAAAATGGATCCCCATGTATACTTGGAGGAAGTTGTGCTTGCTCGTGACAGTGCTCAACACACCAAGGTGCAGAGCCGCCGAGTACACACACTTGAGAGGAATCAAAAGCGTTTCTGCTGTAACCCTGAGTTTCACGGTTTTAGCCGATCAACAGACAACAACCTTTTTCTTTCTTTTTTTGCCTGTTGCTGCCTGATGTTCGGCTAAAACCGTGAAGCTCAGAGTTACAGCAGAAACGCTTTTGATTCCTCTCAAGTATGTCAACAACAAGAAGAAATGGCTGATGCTTGTGGAACATTGTGCTGCGCTCGCGTAGTTGTTCCTACTGCGATACGTTCTAACAATATTCAGATGCCTTTTGTTGGCTCTTCTGCCTGGATTTCATTGACAGATGCGTTGTGTCAGCGCGCTGTTGAAACCACGTCAACACAGCTACAGAGCAATCATGTCGTTCGAGGGGATGGTGCGGGCCTTGGAGGCTCTAGCTGGAACGCCAGCAAGTGCTGCCTCTCTGGAACGGAGGCATGTTCGTGCGAGTGCTGTCAGGGATTGCGCACATGTACAGCCTCGACCTGTGTTTGAGCTGGGAGAGCTGTCGGAGTCACCTGAGAGTGTTGCTTCCAGCGTTGGCGTTGGTACCGGTCGAAAGTCGCCGACACAGCTCCCCGCACCGGACTCTGTTGGCATCGTAAATGCAGACCACCTCATGAAACAGTTCCGCACCTGTATGAGCGATCTTTTAGAAGAGCGCATGGAAACGGTCCTACATTCCATTGCTCGTATCCGTGAGGAGGTGTCAGCCGTCAGTAACTCGTTCAATGGCTTGGATACTCGACTCAATATTCTTGAAAGAAGGCTTGAGAAGACGGATACCGGACCCTTGGAGCAAGCGATCAGGTCGCAAGGCGAAGAAATCCGACGTGTGGCTGCTAGCACGGACGTAACTTGCAGTCGAGTAAGGAAGCTGGAGGAGTGCCTGGCCGGCACCCAACCAGCCTGTACCAGTCCTTCACCGCGGGTGCATCCACGGCCCGCGCAGGCTGTGGGTGCGTGCCAGGCGCAGATGCACCCCCACTCCTACTCCAGGGCTGCGGCTGCGCCGGCTACCGATGGCTTTCGTGCCAAGGCTGCCCAGGCTGCACCAGACAGGACGAATGCAGGCTCAGTAACGGAGCCCGCACTTCAGGCAACGGTGACATCTTGCTATCAGCGCCCTGCACGCAAGCACGACCGGTTAAGGGGTGCCAGTCGGCTAAGGTGCAAGGCCGTCTACGTTGGCCGTGTTGATGTCGGTTGCTCGGCAGGTTCAATCGCTAAATGGTGCGAGGACCGCAGTGTGACTGTCATCAAATGCTCAGTATCTGCGGCACGGTATTTTGGTCTGGCGTATGCCCACCTTGTTATTTCGGAGGAGCATTGGCAGAAGGTCCAGAGTCTAGACTTCTGGCCAAGTGGCATTTCGGTTCGTGAATGGCGCTTCAAATCAGACCGCATCACTCAAGAGAACTGAGTGCGTCGCTCAATCCACTTGCGCCACCATTCCTTCCTGATTCTGGACGACAAACTAATAAAACTCCCAATCTTAACCCCATTGCTGACTCATTTAGTCCGTCAGTTCCACTACCTTCTCCTACCCACCCAAGTGCACTTCGCGTTCTATTTCTCAACATCAGGAGCCTGCGTAACAAACTCAATGACATCCTACTGCTCACACAACAACTCAACGCCCCGGATATAGTCTGTGTCAACGAAACCTGGCTCGACGCCACTGTTTCGGACCAAGAAATAGCCCTGACTGGATATAGTGTAACACGCAGAGACCGTAGTGGTGGAGTAGGAGGAGGAGTTTGCATATACTGGAAGTCATGTCTTCCGGTAAAACCAAGAGACGACATAACAACTGATGGTGTGGAAAGTTGCCGGTGTGAAGTCGCTTGCAGGCCCCGCAGTTGTCTTGTTGGAACGATCTACCGCCCTCCATCTGAACCTGTGGGTTACTGGGACAAGCTAGACGAACATCTTTGCGCTGCTCTAAGGCCACAGCCAAATGCTATCGTTTGTGGTGACTTTAATGTGAATATTGACCTAAGTGCCAGGGACCCTCAGTATCACTACTTATCTGACTTGCTGAACAGCTATGCTCTGCATCACGGTGTCAACAAGTCTACGCGATTTAGCTCAACAGGACAAGACAGCACCCTCGATTTGATACTGAACAATTTTGATCCTTCCACTACAGCGAAGATCATCCCGGTCGCTTTCAGTGACCATGCTGCCGTGGCCAGTGACTTTCACCTCATTGTGCCTCGTGGATCTGACACCACACGTTTATACCGCAACTATCACCGGATAAACCACGATCACTTCCGGCGTGACTTAACCCAGAAGAACTTGTGTAGTATTACCGGCAACCCAAGCGCCATGTGGACCGAGTGGTCTAGCCGGTTTATTGAGGTTTTGGATGTCCATGCCCCACTTCAAAGTAATCACAGAACGAAGAAGCCTTCAGTGCCGTGGATTGACCGGCAATTGTTGTACTTACTACACAAGCGGAATAGGTTGCACCGAAAGTGGCTCTCTGCTAAGACACAGGAGACTTATGCTGAATTTAGTACAGCC